TTGGTGGTTTCTGAGACGTTTCTGATGTATGGCAGTGTGATCCTTTTCATAGCTTGTGTAGTGTTGTAGTGGTCAGGCACTTTTTGATAAAGTTGCGTGGATATTCTCTGAGTTCTTTAAAAGTGACTGACCACTCAGCCTACTACAACACAACCTACGCAAGCTATGAAATAGCCCCCAATAATGTTTTATGTTTCTGAAAATCTTGGGGATTTCTCAAGCTTGCTAATACCTCCCACTTGTACATGAATGGTGCCATTTGGTCACATAAAATCTGGTGTGAGATCATTATTAGCAACCTTAATTGATGTCACTACCTAGATATTCCATAAAAAGCATCACCAGCATAAAATACACAGTAGTTGCAAATCCTGGTGTCAGACTGGTTACAAATCTGTCAAGTACTGAGAGAGATCACAACTTATATAAATTCAATATATTTCTCACCAGCTATTACAAATCAGTAAAATAGTCTAGAATATGAGGCTGACAGAACATTAATGGGATTTTAACAATAACCTGCTTATATATTTCCTTACCTGCCTCTTAGTAGCAAGCAGATGCACTGGTAGGGGAGGAGAAAGTCTGCCCTGACTAATCACATGTCAAGGTAAGGGATACTGCACTATTTTTACTTAGATCAGAAAATAATGTTTTAAACTACACCATATAACTTAGCATAATACACTGGTACAGGCTCCAAATGGCCCTTACTAAAGATGTATGTAAAACAACCCTCCATAGACAACAAAATCAGGTGATGCGTATGTAATTTCAAAATGATTCTTGAGTATAATTTATGGATACCAGATTTGGGTGCAAATCCCAGATGCCCATCAGATAGCAGCAAAGAGATGCAAAAACTTCTAACTCTAGTCATTTTTGCAGCCCAGATCCTTCAGCAATACTGAAGGACCACAATAAAAAAGAAAAAAACAATGTAGTGATGAGCTGTTTTGCTTCGTACTGTGGTTTCTGTGGCTCAGTTGAGGATTTGGGCCACAGGAATAAAAAACAAGAATTGGCTAGGGAGATCACAACAGTTGTGGTCTTATCAAGAATAGCTGGTTCTTGGCCATTGTCTCTAACATTCATGCTTTTATATATCTGGTAAGCAGAAAAGATTGATTTAAGATGAAATTACAGAGGTGACAGCAAAATAAGTCCTGTCAAACATAAAAAAATCTCAAACTCCAGCTGGGGAAAAGATACAAATTCTAACACCTCTTCCCTTGCCCATCAGATTTGATTGGTTTTCAATAAATAATTCAAATTCCCTAAATAACTGACAATAATGAAACAATTACTGACTAATAAGCACAAATGAAAATGTTATATTCTTGCTATTAATGGTTCTGGAATAAAGACTAAGCAATCTAATTTTAAGCAGAATATTTCAGACATTACTTAAGTAAGAAATTCAAGATTATCTAAGGTTTCAGGGGAAAAATGTTGAATGTACAGTACAGTTCTGTGAAAAGGTATCTACCTCCTTTTGGATTTTCTGATTTTTTTTCACTGAATATTAACAGAGATTCATGTGGTCTTATTGATATATAAAGAGTAAACAAATAACACCAAAATGTGCTGTTTGATTCATTTATTTCATAAACAAAGGCATCATGGATGCCAGACCCTCCTATACCACCTGGGATAGTTGGTATATCTTCCTATAGAGGAAGATAAGGGGACAATGAGGTGATAACCTAGAAGGTCAAAATTCCACAGACAAATGTAGATACAATTATAAGAATATCTAAAAAATTCAAAGGTTAAACAGACAAAATCACTGCACTCTTGATAGAAAACCAAGAAAAGTTACTGTCAATATTCTTGATCCTGACTCCAACAATGTTTAGCCCACAACAGGTCAGTTAGCA